GACAACAACAACAAAAACAATAAGCACGACGACGACAACAACAACAAAAACAATAAGCACGACGACGACAACAACAAAAACAATAAGCACGACGACAACAACAACAACAAAAACAATAAGCACAACCACCCATCTCTCCCCCACCCTGTGCCTAATGTGGTTAACGTGCGCGGAAACTCTGCGTCGCGGAACTGCCCAATACGATAGGAAATATGTGCAGAGGAAATGCCTTCCCTGACCGCTGAATGAAGTCTGAGACTTCAAGGGGCTGATTGACATTTGAGGAAAACAGTTAGTTTTTGCATACGTGCGATCTTCCTAGATGAAGAAAATTCCACAGCTGTCACCTTTGCTTGATCAGTCCGGCTGTCCAGGATGAATTTAATGCCAACCCGGGGACTGTGCGGGCCGGTCCACTCGTGTTGTGAGAAAACAGGTTACACCTTCAAACGCTTTCCTGCTCCCCGATACCACATGGTGCAGTCACCTCCTCGCAAAGCGCACACTGTGGCCAATTTTTCTTTCCGTGTTTACAGAGATAAATGTGGGGTGAGGCGGTGGGACCTATGGATTGATCATGCGCTGTCCTGTGTGACAGGAAAATGGGTGTTTGATCTTGTTTTGTGCTATAAGAAACTCTTCAGAAATCTCCTGGAAAAAAAAAATCTCATAAACCTAGGTTAGTGGCCACATATGGGATCCATTAACTCCTCATTTCTGCTTGTTCTTAGCAAATTTTTGTCTGGTGACAACACATGAACCTTGGGGTGTTTTTGTTTTGCTTCACACCACAGAGAACTCTGTTGACTTGCTTCAGTTTTGAGAAAATATGCAGCACAAAGCAGGCTGTGGTCGGGTGAAACAACGGACAGCAAGTAGAACTTGGAACGTTTGGTTCGTGGGGACGCAGGGGGACGTGTTCTTCAGATTTCAGGGGATTCCAGAGTTGCCGACGTTCTGGGAAGAATCTTCCTTTCGTGGTGAAACTGAGTAAGAGAAGCCTCGGTTCTCTCCCTAGCTCTATTCATGTTTCACGGTGTAACTTCGGGAGATTGGTTTGGTCTGTCTTAGTTTCTAAATGCGGGTTTTCTCAATCTTGGACAAGGCAGCAACGTACTTCTTGCAAGACATGCCCTTAGCCCCAGATTAAAAGGCGTTAAATAATTACATCACACCAATATTTGGAACTAAAGTCACTCCTCTGACAGAAAACAGATGGGAGGATGTTAACTCTAAGAAGGAACACAGGATAAAAAAAATTGAGAAGAAAATTAGCTTTTACGTTTCTGTTTTAAGTAATTAATAAACCAAACACAACAATCGGTGCTTTTCACCCACACCCAGCATCAGGGGGCTTCAGACATTGCCTTTGAAGTGGGCCCCCAGTAGGGAGGACTCCACTGTTCAGGCTACTTTATAGTGGTAATATATTGTCTGGTAAAAACAGATGCCAAGAAATTGTGCAGATTGTATCTCCGAGCATCTGAAACCCTAAAACTTCAGGGGGCCAAGGAAGGTCCCAGGCTTTTGATTTTTTTTTTCTTAAAAAAAAAAAAAGGCCCAAAGTATTAAATTGAAACAGGCACTTCATTTCTTTCTTTCATTTCTCCCTTCACCTCAGGAGACCTACGTTAAATTCCTCTTAGATCACAGCTAGACGTGGGTTTGATGGTCTCAAGCCACCTTTTCACTGTACATTCATCCCATAAATAGAAGATGAATAAAGATGTCAAACTCCATCCATATAATATTCTGACACACGTGGCTGTCTCTGTGAAAGAGGAGCTGGGATGAAGGAGGACTCAGTGGAGTCCACAGAGCCAAGGACTGCAACATGCCTCGGTGAATTTAAGCGCACAAATAAGACCGTGTGGATTACCAGCCAATAGCTATGGAGCTTCAGCTGTCAACCTTATCCTGAACGGACATTTGTGGAAGGACAATGGTTGGGCTAGTATAGTGTGAGTTCAACGTGGGCTACTTTCCTTAAGCCACCGTCCTTAAATTTTGTGTTTTAAATAGTGGTTTTCCAGGCAAACAAAGTCAGGTCTATACTTAAAGCAAGGGGTCCCGAGACCAGATTCAGTTCTTCACGTTCCGAGTAAAAATACATGGACCCCGATTCGGGGATTATACTACTAAGATTTATTCATCTTTCTGTGCCCTAGATAGGAAAAGAACCAAATCTAACAAGCAAGGAATACACTGCCAAATATTGATAATTCCTTCTCTGGAATACTCACAGCTATTTTTAGTGTGTTAATGTAAAAAGCCAGTGAGATGAAAAGTGAAGTGATCCGTTTCCAGAAGAAAAACCAGCCGAATCTTCATTAATAATTCCTTGTAGAATGCTCCATGGGCCTTTATCTGACAGCCTGACAAGCTGAACTAAACAACAGAGACTGTAGGAATGTAAAAGACATAATCTTAACACCAAACCTTCTGAAGATTTGGCTGTCATTTTACATTAAAGGCAAGGGGTAAAAACCTCCATTGAAACAGAAGGAGCTTGCAACCTGATTATAGTGCCAGAATTTAGTGAGAGAAGAAAAGGCAGGCATCTGAGTTAGCAAATGGTGGTATTGAAGAGTATTGAACTAAGCTTTCTTTCCACGTCTGGCTTGGGATTTTTGAGAGCCGAAGACGATGATGCGGGTATGATAAGACGCAACGTAGCTATTCCTGGGCCTAGTGACAAATCTTCGTTATCAATAAAAACTATGTAACCAGTGTTGGACGCGGTATAAAAGCTAACTCAAACACCTGCCTAGACTCTGTTTATGTTTCTATAGCAATTTACTCTTCCCGTGTCTTCTCACACTATAGGGTCTCATTGGATTTTCATGATAATGCCATGGGGCAGGCAGGATAGACACTACTGCCCTGTTCTACGCGTGAGTAAGCCATCACTCAGAAATGCTAGGGAACTTGTCCCAGGTTAACTAGCTGGTAAGTATCTGGGTTGAGATCAGATCCAGGTTTCTTACTTTTATACCTGTGCTTCCAATATATTTTTAAAATGAAAACATGGGGCGCCTGGGTGGCGCAGTCGGTTAAGCGTCCGACTTTGGCTCAGGTCATGATCTCACGGTCCGTGGGTTTGAGCCCCGCGTTGGGCTCTGTGCTGACAGCTCAGAGCCTGGAGCCTGTTTCAGATTCTGTGTCTCCCTCTCTCTCTGACCCTCCCTGTTCATGCTCTCTGTCTCAAAAATAAATAAATGTTAAAAAAAAAATTTAAAATGAAAACAAATGCAAGCAGCAGAGCTTGGATAGTCTAATGTCCACCGAAGGCCAAGATCTGCGGGAAAGAATTGGAATCAGCAAGAACAGAACAAAGTCAAAGAGCAAAGGACTATGGGAACACATGTATATTGCTGCTCCTCTGAGTTGAGGGTCTTCTTGCCCATAATGTGAGCAAAATCAAGGTGAGAAATGGTCTGTTGTTGTGTATGGTTACTTTCCCCCAAATCACATGATAATTAGTAATAAAGCACTAACAGTAATTCACTCTTAATAAAGCACTTGCTTTATGTCAGGCTATATTCTAAGGTCTTTACATTGATTGACTCATTTACTCCATATGAGATAGGTTTTAATCTTCTCCCCATTGTATAGCCACATCCTTCAATCTAAGAGAGAGAGAGAGAGAGAGAGAGAGAGAGAGAGAGAGAGAGAGAGACAGTGAGTGTAGGTGTAGGTGTGTGTGGCGGGGGTGGTGTGAAGGCATCTCTCTCCTCATTTTCTTTCTCACTTTATCAATATTTCCTGAGAACACCCTGTCATGTGTCCCCTTTGTTAATAACCCTCCAGTGCTCTCAGAGCAAAGGTTGGCTCGCAGCTTTCTCCCCTTCCTGCCGCCTGTCAGGAGAGGAAATCACAACTTTCAGAGGGACCTGACACAGGGGGAACTGGATAGCACCGAAGGGTCAAGGGTAAGAATGCAGGGAACAGTGAGAAATCCCAGATAGTGTCCGGCCGGTGCTAGGCAGGAAAGGCTCCTTTACATGTGACTTCTCCTGTTTGCTATCTCTGGTTCCTGCAGGAAAGAAAACCACAGCAGATTTTGCTGGGACTGCATTTGTGCACAGCTGTCCATGCTGCTAGAGAAATGCTGAGGGTTTCACGGGAGGTGCAACCCTAGACTGTGGGTTTTCCAATCTCCTGGGTACAGATGAGCCAGGAACTTTAACTGAAATTATGTGGTATTGGTTAAATAACACCAATTTCATGTATAATTCATCACCAGGCCCTATTGATCTAATAACCTAAATGGCAGATCACAAGGTGTGCATAGTAACAATGGTGTATGGTGAAATGCTTCATGAAAACAGCACATGAAAAAAACACCCTGTAAATTCTTCAAGAGGATTCCCTCCCACGCATCTTATTTCAGACCAGGCTACCGACTCCGTGAACAATGGGGTGTGAGGTGTTCACCTCCCTTCCTTCTCCATCTGTCTTGGCTTCTGCTGTGCCAGGAGGACTTGACCTTTGATGAGAAGACACCTCCCCCTAAAGGTCAGGGTGACCTGACGTCCATCACCCCTCAGCCTGTTCTGCTCGGGGTTAAGGTTGCCCCAGTTAGGAAAGATGACCAGATACAGGTAACGAAATGACAGACCGGGAGGTCATGGGTTAAAGGTTTGGGCATCGATTGTTTTGCTAGTGATGTTTCTAATTCCCATTAACTCTCATGAAGAATTATGTGTGTGGCGTGTGAGGAGAAGACACAGTTATTAACTGAGGCTTTCTCTCCTACAGGCAGTGAATGCTGCTATTTATTAATGAAGCTGCACTTTCCCAGAGCATGTAATGGTAAAGATCATAGAATTTTAAACCTAGAATGGGCATTAGAGATCATTTCGCCTAACTCTCTCCCTTTAAAGATGAGGAAACAGGTCTAGTGAGGCTAATCACTTACTCGAGGAAGGTCACTTACTTAGTGGCAGAGTGAGGGCTACACCCCTAGTTTATTCCCTCCCTCCACTGATGCCATGCTGACAAATTAACAAGTATTAAATAGCTGGTAAGACCTCAGGAGCCAGAGTGTAATGTTAAAGCTGCATTGCTTTGAGTGTGCATGGAATCTGAGGCATATTTAGTGGCCAGAGGCTATGAGCAAGATATCTTTTAAAAATGCAAATTGCTATCTACTAAATAAAATGAGTGTAAGTCTGAGGAAGTTCCTTCCACTGGAGCTGTAGGCAATAGCGTTAATTAGTCCGAGGGCATGGGTCCAATTTCCATAAGGGCCAATTAGCTTCACACAATGGGAAAAAGAGACTGATTCCCAGAGTTGGACCGTACCCCAAACTCTGTCTGCCAGGTCCCCGGGGAAACCAGGTGAGACTGTGAGGGGGACAGGGCACATATCCCCCACCCTTGCTGGGAAAACAACTCAGGGCGTTTCTCAGTGGACTCACCTTACATTCAGGGCAGAGCTTTAATAAAATGTTTTATTAAGGCTGAAAGCCAGGGATTGCTTGGAGCACATTTTCACATTCATTCTCTTCACATCATTGAATAATGGTAGCAAAAGGGATTTTTATTCTAGTTTTGCAGATTAGGACCTAAGACCCAAAGAGATAAAGTTATCTTCTTCTTTTTTTTGTTTAAATCCAATTATCAGGCAATGAGAGAACATCAGATTCAAGACCTAAATCTAGGTCTCCTGAACTTCCCAGTAAACCAGACATCACAGCTACTTACAAGCACAGAGCTACCACTTTGCTGACACAAAGAGAAAAATAAAGGCATTTTGAGCTGCATCCAGGTGCTAGGTCGTGGCTCAGCTGGAAAATCAGCTTCTTTCCGTGATTGGGCCAAGGATAAAAAAGAAACATGTGGTCATGATTTCACTGCAGTTTTCTTGGGCAAAATATAAACAGACCTAAACGGGGGAGGTCTTCTGTGGTCCTGCCTGCAAGGCCTCAGCCCTATTTCCCAAGTCAAAACCCAAGACCTGTTGCTGAGGACAGAGGGCAGGAAGGAGTGGCCACAGGTGAGGCAAACTTGAAGACAAACAGGCGATGGCACATCACGGGTACTTATATGTCCATGTGGCTCTTTAGGTCTTTTATTGTCTTGCTTCAGGCCATGCTAGTTCATGCGAAGTCGACATAGTTAACCAGATAGACTTTGTCCTTTTCAGGAATAACTAACAGTTTGTCAATATCAAACACAGAGAGTCAAACAGAGGCGCTGAGGGGCTACAGACGTGAAGCGAAGCCAAGCAACTAAATAGTAACCTTAGAGCTCCAAGAGCAACAGAGGCCAGACACTTCCTGCCATTCCCCCCAAAGTAAAGTCAACTTTAAGCATCACAGAAATGGCACCTCGTTTTAACTGTGGTGCCTTGTGACAACTTGAACAAATCAGCATTGTTGAAAAAGGTTTTTTACCCGTTACTACACGATTCAGCCGGCACGTAGATTAAATTCTATCTCATCTAGGAATTTCTAGCCATGTTGCAGAGAGGTTGGGCAGCTTCTTTTTCACTCCTACCTGCGGTATTTTATTAAGTGGTTATGGTTTCCTTGAGAATTACATTCATCAGGGAACAGAAAGCAGCCAAGACAAGCAGTAACAGCTGCTCAAAGGACAGGGCGAGGCCACCTCTCCCATTCTTTTTCCTGGTGCCTCACATCCGTTCGGGTGGGAGTTCTTCTCAGATAGGCTAGCACATTTCTCTCTTTGTGTTCATACCAGAGGCCTGATCTCATCGGCTTGTTCAGTGCTAGGATGGTAAGGCTGGGAATTACAATTAAGAACCTACTGACGATCAGGTTGTTTGACGTTAGTGTAAGAGAAAGGTAAAAATTGTTGGGAGAACTTCTGGGGTCATCTAGCCCTCAATCCTAGCTTGCCATTCTCTTCCCCATCTCTCGTCATGGGAAATTCAGTTCCTCCCAGGGAAGGTGATTCTAGTTTGGGCCAGCTCTAGTTGTGATGAAGTTGTTTCTTAAAAATAAGGAGACCACTCCTTGCCATGGCTCTGGTTCTGCCATGTAGAGCCCACCTTATAGCCAATTCTGTACTAACACCCAGCTTATTGAGGTGCCTGCATGGCTTAGTTGGTTAAGAGTCCAACTCTTGATTTTGGCTCAGGTCATGATCTCATGGCTCATGAGACTGAGTCCCATGTGAGACTCGGCACTGGCAGCATGGAGCCTGCTTGGGATTCTCTCTTCCTCTCTCTCTGCCCCTCCCCTGCTCACGTGCACTCTCTCTTTCTCTCTTTTTCTCAAAATAAACATTAAAAAAACCCCAGCTATCTTTAATTTCTGAATTTATTCATTAATTCATTCTGTCTGCATTTTATAGTGTTTATGGTGTCATGTACGACGTTAACTAGACCTAAGGGCTCTTCAGTCCATTTGTGTTCATTTCTTTCGTTCAATCTAAAAACACTCAGTTTTCTCAATTTTTTGTAACACAGAGAGGCCTCCACAATCTGGATCTCCTCCTCCAGACTTCACAATGAAAACACTCTTGCTAAGAAGAGTTATTGAGGGTCCACTGTGTAGTAGGCCCAGGACTAGTCCCTATAATATTCTCCACTTCCTGCAAGGTAGGCATTGTCAGACTGGCTTTTGCCATGAGGAACTGTGGCTCAGAGATAAAGTAACTCTTCTTGATTACTTTATCAGAGATAAATACATTCTTGGTGTGGATGAGCCAATGGCTGATAGGTGGGATGTTTGTACAGACTCTAAAGCTTTCAGTTTGAGGGTGTTCCCTTAAGGGGCAGCACCTGTAAGTGAT